GGGAAGTCCCTAGTTGAAACGCGGTTTCAGGGATCACCGTACTACCAGCCAACCTGGTACCTCTCTTGATGACCGCGTCCTCAGTGGAGGGGTTGCACGCTTCCACGATCTCTTGGCCGTTATACACCGTACACAGAGACCTTGCGATCTTAACTGAATCATCCAAAACGGCAGGTCCTTCCACTAGAACGGTGGTTCCGCTAACCATTTGACCCTGAACCTCAGCTACCATGAGAGCTTGTCCCCCTGAACGGATCTTGACTGCAGACGAGATTCATAACATGTACGATTCCTCCACTCGAGGAGATCCGATGGGGAACACCTCGCATGGACTAGGTATTAATTAAACATGCGCTTACAGGCGCGTTCTACTGGCAGCCGAGCGCAGCGAAAGCGGCCTCGATTGGCTAAAATAGACATTACGTTTTGGACACATTATACGTGGTCTACACATCGTACTTAAATGCAGCGTTCAAATTTCATTTTGCCCCCATAATCAACCGCACTCCACGCAAAGGGCGCTGCTTGTGTGCGCGTTAGTTAGAATAAGTAGGCGGCGCTGATGTGCACAAACGTACATTATGGTCTTAGAAGGTGATGATTAATATTGTGGACCCTGGCGACTCATGTTTTGCCTTAAAACCATTCTAGTACTTATCGCTAGAAACATGATGTTGTAGCTAATTAGCGCTTTTGTAATACTTTTACTTACAATTATGTTTCGCTTAGTACTATTCTAAATATCATTTATATTTTTGCTGGTAATCTTTTGTAGTAGTAGTACACGTAAATTTTATTTTATCGTTAGATATAAATACCCAATTTTAATGATAATATTAAATATTAGAATTTTTTAATATATGACTAAAGTGGCTTCCCAGCCGCAAAAGGCGTAATGATAGAGCACCCATTCTAACTTACTTAAAGTATACATCTTTCATGTTGTGAGGGATTAGCGCTTCTTCATTGAGTGTCCCAAATTGAAGAAACCTTAAAATAATTAATATCGTGTTCATTGCTAGTGCACCAAAGTGCACTATCATTACGACATTTGCGGTACACCCACACACCCCACCCTGCCGCCGCGAAATTTTTTTAGTAGTATCTCTTTAGCTATGATAATTGGTTCGTATTCGCGCGCACACGTTACGTAGCATACATCACTTGCACTGGGTGATCAAATTGACGTGGGGCCACTGAAGAACACGAAACCAGGTAAGAGCAGAAAACGACGATAAATTAGACTATGTACATGATGGGATCGAAGCAGAAGCACGGATGGGTACGAAACCACGGAAGGTAACGGTCCGCGAAAGAGAAATAGAGAAATGAAGGCCACGAGATATTCTAAAACACAAACCAAAGAAGAGAACGAAGCCACGAAAACGCGGAGCGGCACGAAGTGACGGAAGCGGATGATAGCTGAAATATTGACACCCTAACATGCTGAAAATCACGACATCTCCCCCGGCTGGAGAACGTGCCAGTCAAAGTCATCTTCTTCGTCTAGTTCGAACTCGACACCGGTATCATCCACACTCACTTCGTCAGATGATTCCGATACAGCGGCGGGCTCTATAGATGGACGGTCTGCATTTGGGAAACTAACATTGTTTTGTGGATCATGGGCTACTGCATCCTCTTCATCAACAAACACCAATTCGTCAGCATCTTCAGTGCAGTCCGAATCAAGACCGTCAATCTCCATTATATCACTGCATACAACATCAGCATCATGTTGGATATGACTGCATCAACGACATGTTGTAGATAATGTCATCAGTAACACGTTGTATCTGGCAGCATTACCAACATGTTGTACGTACGTGCAAGGCTCATCCGTAGTGGTCGCCGCTGCGTCTAGCACGACCAGAAGCGCTGCTGCAGCACCGGTCACTTCTGATGTTCGACTTAGCTATGATCTCGAGCTTCAACATTGCACATAAATATTTCAATTTTCAATTGCATTAACATGTTGTATTTATACATGTTGTACATAACTGTCCGTGCCGCTTACAGCCACAGTATAGTGAGCGATCGCCATGCGTTTCTTTTTCTGCTTTGCCGCCTCTCCCCCGTCCGTCTTGCGTTTCTTGTTTACTGCTGCTTCTTCCAGTCGTACTCTCGCAGCTTCCTTAGCTTCTTTGCCAGCACGTTGTTCGTCAGTTGCCTGATCTTGTCGTTTCTTGGCTGCCGCGCGCTTTTTAGTCGCAGCAGCGTCTGATCTAGCCTATTTTGCAAGTGCGAGAGCTCTTCTTCCGGTTTTTTAGGTAGACTTCGTGACGGTAGCTGCCGTTTTTTGTGTTGACTTCCTTTTCGCCATCGTCTTTGAGTTCTTTGGTGCTGTTAACATACACGCATCATTAGTTGGAGTACATTTGGCAACATGTGGGGTGTCAAAGATGTTGTATTTGTTCGAGCTGTTTCGCTGCACTCGGCTTTCACGCTCGCAGCATCTGACGCATCCAAGTCCCATTTGACATAGTCAAACTCGGCGCTGTTGCATCCTCGTCGAAGTCTTCCTCGCCGTCCGGTTCCCACTTCTCATCCATCGTTTTCTTCCTCCTCTCGACCTTCTTCTTTCTTCATCCAGCCACTGTTTTTAACAGCAACGGCCTTTCGCCTTTGAGACGCCAAACGCTTGCTGGCGAGCAAGTATGCAGCATCTTTCCCCATAGGGGGCCGTCGCGCAACTGGCGTTTGATGCGGTACATGGCGCACCGACGAGAAGTCCGCATCCGTTGATCTTTTGCCGTTTAAAAACGCTTGGTTCACTCTAATTATGCGCAGGCGGTCTTCGCTGTTGTTACTGCTCAGGCGCACCACAACGGCTTGCTTTCGGCGCGCGTTTCATGCCGACCCACCATTCGCTTCTCACGTACTCGGGAAATTCTGAACTGAAACAGGCTTTTCTCTGTTACACAAATCAGGCCGTCGGGGCACAACTTTGATGAGTGGATTTACTGTTCATTTTATTCATCAAACGCTCTTTTTATTTAGGGTAGCAAACCAACTTGTGTGCATCGATATTTTTATTGGTATTTGCTTATACTTGGTCTCAGTAAATTTCGTCCATTTTCCGAGCCAATACCTGTCTAAACATGTTGTATCTACAACATGAATTAATGTTGTTTTAAACAACCTTGTCTTTGGTGGGTTAGGATACGTCGAATTATTTCTAATAATTTTACGTACAACCTTGTTTTGCGTAGTACTATTCTAAATATATTTCCTATGTTAGCCTGTCTTTTTTGTAGTATTAGTACACGTTATTATTATTAATAATGTTAACTACAAAAGAAACTTTTAAAATATGACTATAGTGGCTTCCCACCAGCCCACCCCGCACACCTACGCGCACCACTCCGCCGCCGCGAAAAAAAGTATCGTCCTCCTTTGTATTTGCGTGTGTGCGACGTTAAGAGATTGTGCGCACTTTCCAACACGATACGTAGCGTACATTCACGGCTCTGGGAGCCGTGTTTGTGATTAAGTTAGCGCGGAGGCACGTGATTAAGCAAGAACACGAAACACGGAGGAACACCAAACCAGCCTATGTACACGATGGGATAGTAGGAACAACACGAATCATGGAAGCCCACGGACGATATAAGAGAACTAAATCAATGTAGGCACCCAACGATTCTAAAAAAAACCACGAACGAGCACGCTACCGTGAAAACTTAGAATGCAAGAATATGATGGGAGCGTACGGAATACAGAAGGGAACTTAAAAAATGACACCCCACCAGGGTGAAACGCACGAGCCACGGAAGAGCACGCTCGTTCGAAGCTACGGCAGAAAACGTGGAGTGCACGGAAAGAAATTCTCCCGTAGCACAGCGGTAGAGCACGGAGCAAGGTCGACGAACCAAACATGAAGCCGCGGGAGACCGTAAGCGGGAGATCACCGAGCATTGGAACACGATACCAGGGTAGAACCCGAGTTCACGGAGCCACGAAGCATGTATTTACGGTAGCTTGATCGCACGGACAACAGACCAACCGCGGCACCTCGAGATAAAACAATAGCGTGGACGGTGGACAAACCACTAAACCATGATAGAACATGCAGCCACTTGAGCTATAGACAGGAAATCACCGAGCCACGGAGCACGATACCAATGGAGAACCTGATAAGACTGAGTCAGGGAGATCGACAGTACATTGTAACACGATTGCACGGACCAGCCACGAAATCACGAGGAGGCGCTTCGGGGCCACGATTGCACACCGCGGAGCACGATATACGTGTGGAGCACGATAACACAGGCAAAGTAATACACGATATCATAAACAGCAGAGCCGCACCGCGATTGCACAATAGCGCGGTTGCGCGATAGATGAAGCCACACCAGAAGAGCGCGATACATGGGAGACAGATCAACACAGCTACGGAAGGGAACTCATCGGTGAGGGTAGTGGCGATGGGAAGCCATGGACCGTGAATGATTATGAACCACGAAACCGGTGGGACCCACGTATACCCTTGGGGACACGGAATAGCTAGCAGCCACGAAAGTGAATCATACAACGGACGAACACCACACCAAAAGGGAGAACACATTACTACTAAGCAGCGCAATCCACGGGTGAGTCGGGAATCACGAAGCCAGAAAACATATGGACGCCAACTAGTAGTACGGAGCAACGGAAGAGCACCAAACCTCGATATCGTACGGGGCAACGTGAGACTACAAAATGGTAAGCGGTTAGGTACACGGAGCCACGACGTACTGGGGTGAACGGCGCTCACGAAGCACGAAGCATCACGAAGTACTTATAGTTGCGGCACCTCATCTCCAACAAATCATTCCACCCCGCCGCGTAGCGGTGGCGAACGGCTAGTACTACAAAGAAGAGACATGTTGAGGCCCATCGATACAAATTACTTGCTCCAACGCGCCCTGACCTTTGACGAAGCATGTGGTTTGTATGCCTTTAGCGTCTGAAGGCCGAGCAAACAAAGCAGCAACACGAAAGATACTTCGGGGTATTCGCTAGCAGATGAGCTGCACCTGGTTGCGCGTCGACGGGCTAGTCCTGAGCAGTCGGTGGACCTCTTCATCTACCTTGGTGTCGTCCGGCTCGCTCAGCGCATCGTCAGACACGTCCATACTGAAACGCTTCCAGAACTGTGAGCCATAGATTCGTTGCAGCTCGCCCACTGGTAGAAGTTCATTAGGCACCTGGAAGCACAGCGGTGTCCAACTGTGTTCGAAGTGGAAAAACACCAGAGTCGAGATGATCAATCCCAGCACCACGTCCACCGTGTGGCGCTTGTGGCCAGCGATGCACAGCGCGCCAAAGCTCATAAGGCACGTCATTCTACACACCCGACGAATCTTCGAGGCGGTGCGGCCAGCGAAATTGCGAGCCAGAGTCCGTAGATACAGCAGTACGGCGGAGTTTGTATTCGCTATGTGTCCCAAAAAGATATGGTCACCACAAGAGTAGTAGTTGCCGTAAATGGAGCCGACGCGATGGACAGTATCTATCCACGTGATAGGAGGAAAGTAGTCGGAGCTACCGGCGCGGCAGTGAGGTCCAGGGCCAGGCAGCGACGTCACGGATACCGTCAGCATGCGGAGGAAATAGCAGATAATGTCGATGCGAAAAAAGACGACCGAAGCAGCAACGGTTGGGGCGTTTCATAAAAAAAGGTCTGCAATAGGAGCATGACAGGCACACCGGCGGTCAGGATGTCACCCACAGGCCGCCACTTGGAGTGGAGACCGTGCTCTGGTGTCTGCGTAATCCCCAGGTCCCTGAGCGGCATCGTGGCGGGCACGTGCAGGTAGAAATCAGTGTTGACGGAGAAGACCGAGGCGAGAGACATGGCTACGAAAATCTTGCGTGGTCCATCATGCCGCGTAAGTAGTCGTCCACGCGAGAGCGCACGAGGCACCGGACGTAGAAGAAAGTACCGGTAAATAGCAGTCAGATGCCTCCCCCCCCCGCCCGCCGATGTAGCGCGGGAGCGGTGCTGGTCGGGCTCGAAGATGAGCATGAAAAATGTGACCCAACCCTTGACGCCGAAACCCACGTTGGTCACCATGTAAAGCGCGAACAGCACGAAGCTCGCCACCTTACGGTAGTCAACAGAATCACACCAGTGCCTACGGCTTCGACCTCCTCCGACGGTCACCGGCGTACTATTAATATGGGCTATCAATACCGTGTTCCTATCGTCCAATGAGCCCCAGGTGTCCACGGGGCCCGCCATTTCCGCTTGGTACGGAACAGTTTCGACTGCGCGAAGGGCAGGCACGACGTCATCGCGCTCTTTCTGTCTACCAGGCGTTGAAAGTGGTTATCGAGACGGGTCGACAGTCGTCAGCGACAACAAAGCGCGGAGAATTATACCCCTGACACTCGGCAGTTTAAATGTTGGAAAATTCGCTGCCTACGGATATAGAAGTCGGGAACCGCTCCGGTCATTGGTCAACAAGCGATGCGTGTTTAAGATAGATAACATCGAATCAGAACGACGGACTCCGTGGGATAGAGTGTGTAACTCACAAGATCGTGCCTTTCTCAAACTTTGACCAATCAGACCTCAAACGGATGGTCCTAAGAAGGAGAGGGTAGGGTTTTACCTAAGATTTGATGTATTAATAATGATTGTAGGGTAAAATCTAATGCCACAGGTCCTAAGGTCTCCGATCTTACGTAGACGTGATTCTAGACAATAAAGGCCAAATGATCAATTTTCTCCGACCATTTCCTCCTTCGTAGCCCCTTCGTAGGCCCGGCTCAAGTGGCCTGGCTTATACGAATAGATCTGGTGACACAGCTACGCAGAACTCTAATGACTCGCCCTGCATAAAATAACAAAACAACAAAATTCCTAGGCATGTAGAGCTGGCTTACTGTAAGTTCTTGTTATCATTCTGACATTTGCTAGGCTAGAACAGAGTATTGTGCCTCACTAAAAGTAATGATTTTTTATATTTTAGTACACCATTTCAGGACGTTTCGGTACGAAATATGTGGTGCTTAAATGCCTAAGTGCAATTAATATGCAAATAAAATGCTTCAGAATGTGGTCGGTCAAATGACTTTACTGTGGTGACTACAGCTGTAATTCAATCGTTTGGTGCTGGCAAATCTGTTCTCGATTGTTACATATGATTTTCCTGTAGAGTGCATGTTTTTGTGGTAGTAAGAAGTCCGGCGTGATCGCAAGTACATAGAACCTCGGGAATACATTAGTAAACGGGAGGAGTGTGTTATTAGTACTCTGCTAACGAGTTCATGTTTGTGGAAGTTAAGAGATACAATAACAAAGTTGTGGTGGTAAAACGCGACGAAACGATCGGCGGGGATAGAAGGGTATCTGACATCCAAGCAGACCAAGTCGCCATTAAACCGCGTTACTTTTACGTGGAATAAAAGCTAACACTGATGTCAAATGTCAATTTAATTCCTAGGAAGGCTATTTTTTTTCACGTCTACATCCATCAATCATTAGTCTATGGCCTCCTGCCTATTTCCCAGCATATATATAGTGAGCACCGCCAATGTGATAAAACCGGTTAAACTGTCCAGCCAGCTAAAGCTGACCTCCCAGTATAATCGTTCTGTATTAGCGATTGGCCGCCTTATTTGAAAATGCCGATGTGAGTCTCATGCTATTGTCCTTCAAATACTACCGAGGACCGGGTGATCTCCCTAATCGTTGCCTAGTAACTTCAATCATTATTAAAAACATCTTTAAAATAAATTTAAGTTATCTGAGTAGCCATTCCAGATATTATGTGCACCGCAGTTTCCCAAAACCCCGTAGGAATGGAGAGGTGCGACATTATAATACTGTAGGCTACATTTTGATATGCTGACACCTATCAGCCAAGCCATACCCCCATGTTTTTGTTCTAGAATTTACCTTGATGGGATTAAGCTTTTAATGTAGCTACCAATGAAACGACTTAAGGAATAAATACTTGAAATTTGTCCTAAACCTCATTTTAAAAATTACTGATCTGAACTTTCCTGAAAAACGATTGTCCAACCTGAATGCGCGGATCTCTATGGAGCTCGACGCAGGGCCAACCTGCGCAAATACCGAGGGTGGGTACGGGCACTCGCTATCGCTTAGTAGCATCAAATCAAGATTTAGGATGTTTAGGGGCAGAAGTTTTTTCCGGTTTGGAAAGATATACGCCTAGCTGCTATTACATCGACGCAAGGTATAAGCCTCAATGATACTTAATTGCATCTACGAAATATATTGGCATCGATATGTATTAGTTGGAAGTGTTTCCAGCGATCCTACATATATAACTTCCACAGATAAAGCACACTACCCTAGAGTGATACTTTAAGTATGGATTTCACGAACCTTCCTGTATGGCTTAATATACAGAAATAATATAAAGAAACACTAAGCAAACCAAATACTAATAGAAAGCCAATTTAACCACCACGACCTTCATCTACTGTAGTCTATAGTGGTAGTGGACACAAGAGACAGCGTTCACATTGTGTCAATAGACACATGAGTACGTACGCAGAACCACAGAGTAGTAGGTGGAAATACGCCAAACAGTGAGCGCACACAAGATACAAACACTAGTCTATCCAGCGAATAGTGGTAGTACACAACAGCACAGAGGCCAACCGCAAACCCAGCTATATGTAGTGCTGAGCGGTCTAGCAATGTAGTCATCCCTTCTACTACTAACGTTAGTAGAAGGGTTGCTATGATTTGACGTTGGTATTTACAGTGTAAAGTTGATGGCTGGTTACTGAAAAATGATCATGGCGCGTACATGGGGTCTTCTAGCCAAAGTAGCTGCTGCGGAATCAAAGTGCACATAGCTTAAATCTTCCTAGAACCGCTCTGTGACTGAACAGATACGGTAGTGACACTATCCGGCGCGCGTAAGTGGCTTGACGTCGCCGTCAATTACAACACACGTGGTATCATACAACTAAGTGCCCCGGCTGCCAGTTAGGCCAGGATGGGATTGAATCTGAATAGGGACGGCGAGTGCAGCGCTCGCCAATATTTAGAGGGTGTATGTATACGTTAATGCGTTAATATCAAAGGTGAACGAAGCCTTAATCAGATCAAAGCAACACCTCTAGTTTTATTACCGGTAAATATATTCTCCGCGGAGCAAAGCAACACTAACAATAATATTTTCTCACCCATGTTTTCGTTTCCATCCGGATTTTTAGAATCTGAATTCTGAATGCACAATTTGCGAAAGCTAAACTAACCGCCGAGCGGAGCAAGGCGGCCGTACTGGCATTTCCTGGTCAAGTTGGCAGTTTTATCTGCAAATGGCCCGTTCTTGTATGATCTAATTTAAGCATGTGTGTAAACACATCATTTTAATTTTAGGCTACGGTTTTCTGGCGATTTGCATGAAAGAGCCGTGGCTAAAGCAAGTTGTGTCAACGATGTGTCCTAATTGGTGCCATAGCGTACAAGTTATTGTACAAAATGTATTACCATACAGAATATGTTCTGTACCCAATCCTGGATAAGTCGATACATCACCTTTTACAGTAAAACTTAATCAATGGTGCCCAGGAAACTCGCTGAAGACAGACTTATAAAATTCAATCACATCTCTTTTTTCTCTCATCTACTCAAGCACCTCCACTTCCTCGCCTCTCCTTCACTAGGTTATGAGCTCAACGCAAGCCTCCACCGCTGACGACCGCGCGTTTCCGCCCCTCAATGGCCGGACCTGCATCATCTGGAAGACCCGCGTCACTGCCGCCCTCGAAGGAAAGAACCTCCTCGGCTACGTCGACTACACCGGTGACTCCGATTACGAGCTCAACTCCGATGAAGAATCCAACCCGGCACTTTCCGACATGAACGACATGTCCGCCGCGCTTGACGCTGGCGGTGCTCCCAAGGCCGACGAAATGGTGGGCTCCTCATCGAGCGAGTCCTCCTCCGACGCCAGCTCCGCAAGTTCGGATGCACCCACAGCCGGAGATGACGGCGACGTGGAAATGGGGCAGGAAAATCCCCCCGTTATCCAGTCATCCACTGCTCAGAAGCGGGATGAACTGAAGCGAGCAGAGAGGCCGATAGTTAAAAGCCAGAGGCTGAGCTCGAAAAAGCTTCGACTCAACGAGGCAAAAACAAAGGCTTTCCTTATCAAGACCATCGATGATCAGCATGTTCTCATGGTCAAGGACAAAACTAGTGCGTTTGAGATCTTCCAGATGATCTGTAGCAAGTACGAAGGTGCTGCCATCCACGGGGACCCGTATCATGTGCTACCATACTGATGGCACTAAGGTATGAAGAAGGTTCAGACCTTACGGGGTTGATAATTGACATCGAATCCGCCATGAAGGTTGCCTCCGAATCCACAAACAGTGTGCTCAAAGACGAACAGACGTCGCTCTGCTTGTACCATGCGCTACCTGGAAAATGGAAGCAGCAACTATCGGTCTGGAAGGGTAGCAGGAAATTCATTCCCTACGAAGAGCTGAAGCGTCACATCGAGGCCAAGGTGCAGCATGAGCTGACGAAAAACCGCTACACACTCAAACAAGGAACACCCGAATCGAGGGAAACACGAAACGAGCAGGCCCTACAGGCTTAAGCACCCGAACCAATCTTGGTTCCAGCTCCCTATCAAGAGAGCAAGGCTCTCATCTCAACGATGAGTTGTACATACTGTACTGCCTGCGCACTAACCACGATACTGTCGACTGCTATGTTCTATAGCGCCACCTACTAAATGGTCAGGTAAAGGCAAGAATGGTGGTCCCCACCAACTTTAAGCTGAAACCTTCGTCCAATTAAGCTCGACAGCATCCTTACAAGGACGGTTTCGGCGGCAAGTCACGATATCAGAATCGGAATAACTACAAGAGCAAAGCGGAACAGCATTCGAAACAGAAGCCAGAACGGCAACCAGAAGAATACATCTGGAAAATCCAAGCGTCACAATAAATTTCACGGTCGTCGCAAGGCCACCGACTCCGACAACGAGTATGGAATCATAGCCATCACCACACCGGACCCCAGCCAAGAAACAGAGGCTGTAAGTTTCACCGCCCAAGATGCGGAGCATGGCCCAGTGTGGACTGTCGACTCGCGATGCACTCGCCACGTTACGTTCAATATGAAGTGGTTTGAGAAGCGGATCCCAAGGGCTGGCAAGTCAATCACTGTCGGTGGCAATCACCAGATTCTGATCAAAATAACTTGTGATGTCAAGCTGACAATCAAGGACACGAAGGGAA